GGTGCACGTGTGGCTTGATGTACCATCATTGTAATTACATATAAAACTTCGTCTATACTCTAATAAAAAGTTCCCCAAACCAAAGAGGTCACCTTAATACCAAAAAAAAAAAATAAATAAATTTGTAAATTACTAGACCTAGTCTATTTTGAATCCCGATATCTGTAGCAGTATCATGTCCAGAACAATACTGATACATATCTAAAAGATCATGCTTTAATTTTTAAATTCAGAACGATCCCAGTACATGTCCAAGAAATTTTTTCTTGAAAATACTTAGTAATTACTATGCCTCATAAGATTACCAACACTTTGGAATTTTAATTTATAACTTACTAGACATAATCTAGAGATTATGTCTAGTAAATTATAAATTTAAACCTAGAAGTTTGTTTTGATGATGTTATGCACTTTGTTTTGATGCATTATATCTTTTTTTTTAACGTCTATATAAGAGAAGGTCATGACACTTGTGTAATATGTTTTTTCTCTTCTCTACTTTTTCACAAAAAGTAATAAAAAAAAAAAATAAATAAATAAATAAATAGTTCGCATTATTTTTTCTTATAGATAAAAAAACTTACCTGTTACTTTAAATATAGTCAATAAAAAACTATTAACAATAAGCTATTCTAGCATTTCATCTTCTCCTTTGCTACCTCAAAGAAGCGAAACATCTGATAAAGGTAACAGATTACATATCAGGTATAAATTTGTAGTATATATGCATGTTCATGTTAAGTGTGACTCTACGTTTTTTTTTTGTTAAGTAAATGGCTTTGGATGGCTTTGACTTTTTTTTTTTGTTTTTTATTATAGATGAAATAAAAGCATTAAGAAATTAGATAAAAAATCTGGGAAGTAAAATTGATGAATTTATCAAAAATTCTAGAAAAAAGACCCAGAAACAAGATAGCAGCAGTAGCAGTAATAACAATAGCAACAACAACAGCAATGATAACAGCAACGATAACAGCAATGACAGCAGCAATGATAGCAGCAACAACAATGACAACCATCACAGCAACAAAAGAAGAGACAGAAAAACAAGAAGAGCCTCAAAAAGAAGTCATAAAGAATTTTCATCTAAAACAAAAAAGTTGTTAAGAGTATGTACAAATATCAGGTTATTTTCATTTCTCATTAGCAAATAAAGATATCGAGTGTTTTCATATATTTTGATTTATTGAATTTATCATCTATATGTATGTATATATGAATATCAGGTGTTTTATATATTTTTGATTTATTGATTTCTTGCTTATATAGATATCAGTTGTTTCTATATATTTTTATTAATTTATTTTAATTTATTATAATAGAATGACATTATAATATCTATTGAAGGGCTCGATGAGCCGATGCAACCGGACCCCAAAAAATTGTAGATAGATTTTAAACAAGAGTTTTTTCAGAACTCGTTTAAAATTATCAAAAGAGATGTCTGAAGGTATCACGCTAGCGATGCCCAAATATTAAAAATTATAAAGAAGCGCCACCAACACCAACAAGAAAAATACTTGATGCAGCAGAATCCAGAAAAAAAAAAGCAGGAATATAAAAAAAATAAAGAACAACAAAGAATGACAGCAGTAAGAATTTTTTGGTTTCATTGTATTAATGAACTAACTATATCACTATTGGTAAAATTTTAAATATATTTTCAGAAAATCAATCGGAGGTAAAAGGGGTTCGCTCATCTTCACCAAAGTAAAAGCGAACAACTAAAAAACCTTCTCTTATATGATATTTCAGAGCGTCAAGCTCTGAATAATATAAAAAAAATTGTGGCCAAAAGTGGATACCACAGTGATGAGATATTGGAAACGGATGATGAACTTGCCGATGATGAATGAAGGAAAAGGATTCAACATCCTCTTGATGACGACCACAATAATCATGTGGTGAAGGTCATAAAAAAAGGATGGCGATCAAAAAAAGTAATTATTACAATAGATATCTATATTGATACTAGTACTAATATGCTTTATATACTTTTTAGTTAAAGCAAATTTTGTTGCTATGCGAAGATACTTTGCTCGCACAAAATTATAATAAGCCAAAATGGAATTGCTGAGAAACTGATATTGATAATAACTTAACACCACCAGCTGAGGCTTCCAGCTGGTGTATTTCATATAACTATGTTCCTGCTGTTTTACTTGGTCTTGTTATAAATTCTCCCGGTGCTGATGGTGATTCTGATAATTATTTAGAGTCTGGTGCTGTTGCCTCCGATACACATTTTGTATCTGGTTCTGCCCCGTCTGGTTCTGCTCTATCTGGTTCTGCTCCCGATACATATTCTGGGTCTGGATCTGGTGCTGTTGCTCCTGATACTAATGCTGCCCCCGATACTAATCGATATGCTGCTCCCGATGCTAATTATTATTCTGCTTCTAATACTAACCACTATGCTGCTCCCAATGCTAATTGTTCTGATGCCCCCAAAAATAATCATTCTGCTGCTCCTGATACTAATCGTTCTGATGCAAATAATTGCTCTGCTGCCCCCGTTATTAATATTGATGCTTCTAAAACAATTCATGGTAGAAGTTCTCCCGGTATCAATTTTAATATCATATCTGGTATGATTTTTAATGTTTCTAATACAAATTATTTAAGATTTTTACTAATGTTTTATTCATATAATTTTTGAAGAGACTACTAATAGCAATAATGATAATGCCGATAGTAATCATGAATCTGGTAATGTATTTGATAGTTTTTATATGACTTGCTATATTTCTAATTAATTTGTTATATGTTAATAATTATTTTATAATTTAGAATTAAACGAAGTTCCTGATAATTATTCTGCCAATACTTCTAGATCTAAACCACGTTATAGCAGAGGTTCAAGTCTAAAAGCTCCTAGAAATTCTAGGCATAGTACCAGAAAATAATTTTTTTTAAATTTATTTAATCTATATATTATGTATATATTTATTTAATTACTAGTTACATATATATAATATTTATAATAAAAATAATTATACAAATAATAAAATTCAAAATGTAATTTTTAATTATATATCAGGAATGAATAAACATTTTTTTTTAATATTATCTAGTAAAAACAGGGATATTAAAATAATCTCTTTAGTTAACTGAAACTTACCTTTATGTGTACCGTTATTCACCTTTTATTTTGCTATATATGCAGCAAAACAGAATAAAAATAAATAGATATCAAGATCTTAATAGAAGCCTTTTAGCTAGCTGATATTTATCTTTGCACATACTATTATTTACCTTTTATATAGCTATAGTCACCAATATCGGCAGCAAAATGGATACATAATTTTAAATAATATATCGATATCGGAATAATAAAGGATGCTCATTATTTAGCTGATGTCCATTTTCCATTCTCCTAATATTTATTTTTTATACTTCTATAGATCTGTCAAACATGTGTAGCAACTAGATATATAATCACAATACAAAGGATCGATATCGGGATATTAATAGATACCTTTTATTTATCTTGTATTTACCTTTTATGTTGTACTGGTATTTATCCTTTATGTTACTATAGATCCGCCAAATAACTGTAGCAAACTAGATTAAAAGTGGATATATAAAGGATAGATATCGGGACATAAAAAGGATACCTATCATTTAGCTGATATTTATTTTCTATTCTCCCGATATTCATCTTTTATGCTTCTATAGATCTGTCAAACATGTGTAGCAACTAGATATATAATCACCATACAAAGGATCAATATCGGGATATTAATAGATACCCTTTATTTATCTTGTATTTACCTTTTATGTTGTACCAGTATTCATCCTTTATGTTACTATAGATCCGCCAAATAACTGTAACAAACCAGGTTAAAAGTGGACACATAAAGGATAGATATCGGGACATAAAAAAGGTACCCTTTATTTAGCTGACATTTATTTTGAATGTACCGATATTTATCTTTTATGTTTCCAGTATATGCAGCAAAACAGATATATAATTATTATATAAAAGATCGATATCGGGATATTAATAGATATCCTTTATTCATCTTATATTTTTCTTTTATGTTGTACCGGTATTCATCCTTTATGTTACCATAGATCCGCCAAATAACTGTAGCAAATCAGGTTAAAAGTGGATAAATAAAGGATAGATATCGGGATAATAAAGGGATCCCAGTATGTATCCTTTATGTATTTATTGAACCTGTGATATATATCTGGCTTGCACTAATAAAGTATATTTAGTGTAGGGAGTACTCGAAAAAAACCTTTTAATCAAATAACTAGTTTATTACTGCTTATTATTGACTTGCATCTTTGCTCTCCGAGTTCTACTAGTCTTTTCTAGCACAAGTACTACATTGTACTGTTTTCTTCTTCTATTTGTCATAATGGTTTGAGATTTTTTGATAAATACTATTCACTTTCTATAAGTCTTCTTTTAACTCTAAGTAGAGGTCCAATCCAGATAAATCTGTCATCCATTTATCCATATCTGAATTTATCCGGATATCCATTTACTATTGGTATCCGGATAATCTGACAAATATTCGGATAATTATCCGGATATCATTAGTAAAACAGATATCCGAATAAATTTAGATCTGGATATCCAATAGATAAATGGATAAACGGATAATAGATAGGAACTCTAACTCTAAGTATAAAACTATACAAAGGATATTCAATGTTTTTGTTTGACCAAGCTATATTAAAGTTTTATCATAGCCGAAGTGTACTTGGCTATCTCCACATTTCATTAAGAAAGACTCTCTCTTTTGCGATACTATCTGCCTTTTCATTCCATCTTATACCAGAGTATGTTTTTACTTTCACTAGTTCTAACTTAATTTGCTTAAATTGAACCATCTCTATGATTTTGTCCAGTAGTGTTCTATTTTTTTTTTTAGACTCTTATTGAACATTTTTTCTCTAAGTGCACTCTTTATTGCCAGAATTGCTGCTGCACTATCCGATTTAATCTCTACTAGTATATCTGTCAGGACTGTCAATAATATATATAGTATCACTAGCAGTTCTGGTCTTGTAGATAAGGGCCAATCGCTTACTCTTACTTTGCCTGTAAATACTACTTCTTTTTTATCTACAGAGACCTGGATCCAGCCTGCCCCCATTCTATTTTTTTCTCTTTTACTATATTTATTTGGTAGCCACGAGCTGTCTGTATAGAATATGTATTTACTCTTTTTTGCCTTTAAGGTTTGTTTTTGTTTCATTAAGTAATAAAGCTACGATATTTGCTAGGAGATTAAGGTTCTTTATATACTCAATGCTTTCTGCCTCTAACTTTTCTGTACTTATAAGTTGGCTCTCTGCTATGTTACTTTCTTTCTTGAGATAACTTTAGATTTCTGGTGCAATTTTAATACATGTACTATTGTTAGTTTTTAATACGTGTTCTACTCTTTCTAGTACTTTGTCTTGCTTTATTTCTAATATGTAATTGTTCTCTTTGTCCTTCGTGTTATATTCATATTCTTGACAGTACTTTACCAAAATACTACTTTTCATCAGGCCTGATTCTACCCAATATTCGACAAGTACTTTATTATGTTTCTTCTTTTGTATTCGGCTAAACAAGAGTTGATCCTTCTTCTCTTCGAACAAGATCTAATCTCTTCTTCTTTTGTCTGGGTGAATATTAAGCAGCCTGGGAACAAGAGCTTTTTTATTTGTTTCCTGTAGGTGGAACTGTGTTTTAACTTTTTATTCTTTTGCTTTTTTTAGAACTACTTCTTTGATAGCTATATACCAGTGAGGGGTTTTGCTACAGCTATTAAAACCTTTAATTGTTCTAACTTGTTGCCATGTTAACAATTTCTTGCCACTAGGATCAAGCAACTGATTAATACAGTATACACCTAGTTTTGCCTATATACTTCTACTTTTACTTTTTTGCTTAGTATCTAGCAAGCTTATAATTGTAGGTTCTGACCTTTAGATATACTAGCCCTCCTCTTCAGGCCTAAATGTTATATCTATTTCTTTATACTGTTCGATTATATTTAATGTGATATTGTTTTTGTAAATTAAACATGTTTTATTAACTCTTTCTTGCCAAATATTGTATGTTATATAGTTTTTTAAAATTCCTTGTCTAATTCGTACTTTGGTTAGGCTTTCTATTGTACTAGAGCTATTAAGTCTTTTAAAAAAAGATGTTGTCTATTTTGCTAAAACTGTTCCCATGAGCATTTTAATATCTAGTATCTCTCCATGTACTAATATATTATTTGGCACTGTTTGGGCAATATCTAGCTTCTTTTTTATCAAACGTAGAAAGGGTTGGTGAATTGAATATAATTAATTCTCTTTTTGATAGAGCCATTGTTTGTAGGATATAATCTAGTTTTGGAATCAGAACTTGATTATTTATATATACCAGTTGGCTTGCTGTAGTTTTTTTTTTTTCTAATTTATATGCAAACAAGCCCACAATCTGCTTTACTCTTTTTTTTATCTTGTCTACTTCTTTAGTAATGTGCAGGAATGTGTCTAAAAAGTGGATTTTATTAAACTTTTTAACTACTTCTACTACAGCTTCACTATACTCTATTTGTTTTTCTTTGACTGGAAGTTTTGAGTTGAGTATGATTAGCTTGAACTTGTTACTATTAATTTCTATGCTATTTAATTGAAAGAACTGTTCTGCAATCTGGGTTATTTGCTTGAGCTGGTCTTTGAAGCTAGCAATCCATGTTGTGTCATCCACATAGACAAGAACTGCTTGTCTTATACTTTTTTTCTTTCTAGTTCCTAGCAGCTCTTCAAATTGCTTTGGCATTTCGATTTTATAGCCCAACTCTTTGTTTTTTTGTATTCGGTCTAACAAAGGATCATAGAAGATTCTTCACAGTAGGAAGGAGATAGCCTCTCCTTGATCAATACTCTCTTTTGCTAAAACTTCTTGTGTTAGTCCGAATGCTGTTATAATCTTTAACTTTCTGTTTGTAAACAGGTTTAGGATAAATTTGTAGCATCTGTCTGGGACTTTAATTCTTCTTAAAGCTTTTTCTAACATGCTTAGGTTTACTAAATTGAATGCCTTCTTCATATCTTGAAATAGTAACCAGATTTCTTGCTTATTTTCTTCTGCTTCCTCGATAAGTATTTTTAGTATATAAGCTGGCTCTTTAGTAGAGTTGGCAGGTAATCCTGCAAAGTTGGGACCATGTAAGATATCTTTTTCTTTAATGACTTTGCTTAGTCTCTTCGTTAGTATCTTTGTCACATGTTTTCTAAATACTTCTATTAATGCAATTGGTCTAACTCTATCTAGGTTAAATTCCCAATCTTGCTTTTTTGGTATGGAGTAAATTTGTATTATTTTCCATTTAGCTAGAATATTGCTGACTTGTAAATATAGTTCTGCAAAGTTTTTAAAGACTTGTTAAGACCTTATATCTGCTTGTTTCAATAGAGGGTATGAAATTGTTAACATTCCTGGGGCTGAGTTAGCTTTACTTTCTCTTAACATTGCTTGCCACTCCTCTAATATAATCGGTTACATTACTGAATCAAACCATGACTCTTGGATTCTCTCTTTTGGTTGGTACTCATCAGATCAAAGTTTCTTAACCTCTGTGTAGCTGTTTTCTTTGCCTATGAATTGCTTTTGAAAGTGGGCTTGGACTTCTTCCAAAACTTTTACTGGATCATTTAATAATATTTCTTGATCTTGATTTTGTAATAGTACTCTATCCAAGACTACTTTGTGAAATAGCCACTCTAGCAGGCTGTTTAGCATTTTCTTTTGATTATTTACAATTTGTTCTGCTCTTCTTTGAATATATGCTTGTATTTCTTTTTTTTTTTTTTTTTTTTTTTTTTAATATTAAAGGTGACCACTTAGGCCATTGGCATGAGCT